CGATGACAAAACGTAATTCTTAAAACAGTTAACAGAACAAAAGATTTAGTGAGGGTTTGTGAGGCATAAGAACTGCCATACTTGATCAGACCAAAAGTCCATCTACCCCCGTAACCTGACTTTCAACAGTGATCAAGACAGAATGAAGAGAATGGATAATTATCAAGTGATCCATCGCCTGTCACCTATTCCCAGCTTCCGGCAAATAGGCTAGTAACACGATGTCTAATAACTTTAAAAAACAACAAACGGTCTGGTAGCACTTTATAGACTAAGAAATGTCTAATAGCCATTCATGGACCTGTTCTTCTTGAGTTTATCTAGTTCTTATAGTCTTGGCCTTCACAACGATCTCTGGCTGAGTTCCACAGATGGACTATGCATTCTGTGAAGAAATACTTGCTTTTGTTTGTTTTAAACTTGCTATTAATTTCATGTGGTGACCTCTAGTTCTTGTATTATCAGAAGGAGTAAATAACTCTTTCCTATTTACTTCCTCACACCATCATGATTTCATAGACCTCTGTCATATCCCCCTCAGTCATCTCTTTACAAAGCCAATAAACCCCAGGTTTATTAATCTCTCCTCATATAAAAACAGTTCCATACCCCTTATCATTTGTGTTGCCCTTTCCCAAAAGTTTTTCCAAGTCCATTCTATCTTTTTTGGGATGTTGCGACCTCATTTGCAGACAGTAATCAAGATGTGGCTGTACCTTTGACATATAGGGTTGCCAGATGGTTGAAACAAAAATACTGAACATCCTCTCCCCTTCCCCCCCCCCCCAAAAAAAAACCACCGTGTAAAAAATTCTGTTGAAGGGAGGGAAAAAACCAAAGTTGTTGAGCAAAAAAATAAAATAAAATAAAATAAAATAAAATAAAAACCAACATTAAAACAGCAGTCCCCCTTAAGAGTGAGTGCAGGGATAGGAACAGGGGAGTAGTTGAGCACTAAGACCCAAGGGAAGCATTGCTAGCCTAGGTCTTTTGGCCAGAAGCCATTTTCTGCTGGCAGCCTTGGGGAACCCAGTAAGCTTGGGGGTTGGGGTCAGGAGGCTTCAGGTGTGGGAGGTTTGGGGGGAGGAACGGGGAGGGGGCTGGCTCAGGGGAGGCCAGGCGCTGAGTGTTTGTAGGGTTGCCAGGTGCCTGGCATTTTCACCTCCTTTTTGGGGAAAAATTCAGAAAATATCGGTCATCTCAGGTGTCCGATATTCTCTTAAATTTTTTACAGGACAGGAGGCGAAAATACCGGACTGTCCAGGTGAATACCGGACACCTGGCAACCCTATTGATATATAGTGAGGTAATATGATAGTTCTGCCTTATTACTTACCCTTTTCTTATTGATTCCCAACATTCTGTTCACTTTTTGGACTGCCACTGCACACTGAGTGGATGTTTTCAAAGGACTATCTCTTTTTTGTGTCGTAACAGCTAAGGGTATGTCTACACTGCCACCCTAGTGCGGACTCCGTGCCCGTGGCTACATGCAGCACGGAGTAGGTAGTTCGAATTAGGCTCTCTAATTTGAACTACCGGTACACCTTGTTCCACCTCCCTCGTCTGCCCTTCTGCTTCACCCCCAGAATCCCCTGGCACCTGCACCTTCCCTTAGCCCTGCACCCTCCTGGTGCCTTCCCCTTTTCCTTACTGCTCCTGCCCCCTTTACCCTCTTTTTCCCTGATGCCCACCCTCCTCACCACTCTCTACCCCCATTCCCCTCTGTGCCCTCACACGACTTGTTCCATCCCCACCTCTCTCATGCCCACCCCTTCTTTCAAGCCTTCTCCAGCACCTCCCCCTCCCCCCTCTAGCCCCCAATGCCCTTATTCTCTCCTCTCCCAGCATCACCCTGTCCCCTCTCCCGCTGACACCTCCCCTCCTGCCCTTTTCCTCATTGTCTGCACTTGGCCCCCTGGCATTTGTCTCTCCTCCATGCTGTCCCTTGGTGCCTTCCCTGTCCACACAAGCCCCTTCCTCTCCTACCCCCTTCCTCTCCCCACAAGCCCCATCCTCTCCCACCCCCTCTAACTTCTCTTTAAACTCTGTTATAGTTCTA